GTCTAGATGTCAAGTGCAGGATGAATCATCTGCATCTGGATTTTTCAAGGCGTAGAATATTTTTTATATTTTTTCAATGCGTCGAATTAAAAAAAAATTGTTTTAACCCGAGGATTCGTTCGATTTTTAGTGGATTTTCAAAGAACATTTTTTCAAGAGGTCGATTTTTATAGAAAATTTTTTTCAAGTCGTTGATTTTTATAAAAAAACATTTTTTCAAGGCTTACTCTATTTATAGAATGTTTTTACAAACTGTGGGTTTTCAGTTTCTCCAGTTCGTAACTATTTTTCTATTCATTTTCTTCATAGAGAGCAAAGAACCACACTGAAACGTTACTCCATTCACTAACTGGGTCTTTAGCAATAAACGATATCAAAACTATCGATAGCACAACGAAAAATACAACCCTGCCACTGTAGACAAATCAAAACAATGAAATGTCATCTCTAATTGGATGTTTTTTTGTTTCTTAATTCGACATTCTCAAAGACGAGAGCACGTGTTTACATTCTCCCAGCCCGTGTAAAGAAAAGTGCCGAGAATTTTTATTTGAATTTGCCCCAAAATAATTCTAAATTAAGAGGCAACCATGGAAGAAGAAGGACCAGCAGAGGCAACCATTGATTTCGTGCCAGCCTTGTGTTTTGTACCACGCGGCATTGCCAAAGAGCGTCCGGATAAAATTGTATTGACCCAAGAGGAGTTGGCCCGGGTGATTAAAGAAACCAAAGATCGTTTGGACAGTGATGGTGAACATGAAGATGATGATGATGACGACGGCGATGAGAATGAAACTGGTATGGAGGTAGATAATGAAAACGAAGACGGAGATGACGATGAGAATATTGATGAAGATGATGAACGGGCTGAGACACGCAGCATTAACGATGAATTTGGCTTTGAACAATACGATGCCGAGGGTAATGTCCGAGTGGCTGATATTGGAAATATTGTCGATCCTGACCATCAATTACCCGATGAAGATGATGATTCCGAGGCAGAAGATGAAATTATTAAACCCACAGATAATCTTTTGCTTGTGGGCCATGTTCATGTCGGTAGACATTTGTTGTTGCTCGTTGTTGTCGTCGTCGTTGTTCTCTGAGATGTTTCTTGTGTTGTGTGTGTTGCAGAAACATAACAGTGTTGAGTAAACAACTGTGAGAGAGTAGTATTTGTACGAAAGCGTACAGATGATGGGTTATTTGGCGTTGAAACGAAAAAATTGCATTAAAAATTTATGATTAAAAAAACTTAAAAAAATTAGAAATAAAAATCGCATAAATATAAAGGAAATTTAAAAATAAAATAAATAATTGAAAATAAATAGATTAAACCATAAAATTAGAAATATAAATAGGTAAAAATTAAAAATAAATCAGACGAAAATATAAATGGGACCTATGTCTAAATCTGAAGCGATTTCAAAGAAACTTACCACACATCAATCTAGATTCAATACAGTTCGCTATGCTAAATTTCATACAAATCGAAAGAAATATAGATGATTTGTGCACCATTTACATAAAATCGGACAAAACTATATATGGGAGCTATATCTAAATCTAAACCGATTTTCACGAAACTTACCACATGTCTTTCTATACTAATTTTAGTACGCTGTGCCAAGTTTCATCTCAATCGCATAAACATTGGGAGTTTGGTGCACCATTTACATAAAATCGGTCAGAAATATATATGGGAGCTATTTTTAAATCTGATCCGATTTTCACGGAAATTAACACACATTATTACAGACTCAATACGGTGTGGTATTTTCAATCAATCGGGCAAATATTGTGACTTAAGTGCAGCATTTGATCAAATCCGACAAAATATATGTGAAAGCTATGTCTAAATCTAATCAACGAAAATTAGCACTCGCGATTTTAGACTGAATTCAGCATGCTATGCTAAATTTCGTGTAAATCGAAACAAATTTAGGGGCTTTGGTGCACCATTTACATAAAATCGAACGAAAATATGTATGGAAGCTATATCGAAATTTGAGTCGATTTTAATAAAACTTTGCATGCGTCCTTCAGTACTTAATTCGATACGTTGTACAAATTTTTTTAATAATCGGGAGCAATATGAGAATTTGATGCACCATTTCCATTAATCGGGCGAAAATTTATATGGGAGGTATATATAAATCTGAACCGATTTTCATAAATTTCAAATGCGTTCGTCTTGGGCCAAATAAGTGAGCCGTACCCAATTTCATTTCAATCGGATCATAAATGCCCAATTACAGTCAATTCAGGTACCGTTATATAGAGGCTACCCTAAAAAATTATGCCACTTCGGTTGGAAAACGTGATTAGTACCTTGAAAAGTCCTCAAATAATCGGGACATTTACGACCACTTCACTGATTCATGTGAGATATGCCCTGGCTGGAGAGCTACCCCCCAAATATCGAGCCAAGGTTCTGACGGCCAAAGAAATTATTAGAAATATATATCGCAATGAAAGATTATATGAGATAGTAGCGGATAATCCAAAGGTTAAATCCAGTTATAGTGCAATATTTTACGAATTTGACGACATCTTCCAAAGGATCAGAATAAGGTCATATGAATATAAAGACAAATTGACGATCAGAACAAATCTTTTACCCTTTACGAAGGAGAATGCTCCTGTGGGTGTAATACATGCCATATACAAATGTGAGATGGAACATTATAGATTTAATGGTTTCACCATTTTTGCCACTGATGCTTCGGTTGGGCGTGAGACCACAGGGTGTGGTGTATACAATGTGTCCAATAAGGACAAATTTCTCTTTAAATTGGACATTAAGTCCTCGACCATGTTCGGCGAACTTTATGCTATTAAAAAGGCTCTTGAAATTGTGGAGGAAGATGGTTATGGCAATCTAGTCATCTTTACAGACAGCCTTGCGGCCTGTAAGGTTCTAGGCTCTGGAAGCTCTGACAATTTTCTGGTTGCTGAATGTCACAATTTGTTGAGGAGAGAAAATTGCTTTGTTCCCGTACTGCAAGAATCTACTATTTTTTACTACGATAACACATTTTTCCTTTATGATATCGGAAAAAATAGTAAAAACTCGTAGATTCTTGCTGTACGGGAACAGGCCAAATGTGTACAGATGTCATGCGGTTTGGACTCCGAGTCATAAAGGCATACCTTTTAATGAAGTTGTTGACTTTTTGGCAAAGCAAGCGGTGGATGCAGGTGCACCAATTGCGACGTGTCTGACCCCGAAGGAGGCGATAAGACAAATAGAAAGGAGAGTAAAGGACAAGTGGAATGAAGAGTTTAAGATAATTTTCCAACTCTGCCCTGATGTGTATAGCAAACCATGGTATTGCAAAATCAATTTAAGGCCGGAGGACACAAAATTAATTAACAGGCTCATGACAGGACGCTCGTACTGCAAAGTCGATCTACATCGTATAGGTGCCAGTGATTCCTGGCAATGCGATTTATGCGGTGTTCCTGAAGACGTGGAGCACAGCATTTTTACTTGCCCTAGATATAATCAAATAAGAACCGCTTATCCCATCCTTTTTTCCCAATACAATAATCTTAAGACAATCCTGAAATCCACTGAGGAAGAGCTATTCAAGATATTAATTCGCTTCATCAATGAGGCGAAAATTCATCTGTGATCCTTATCCCCATCCCAACCTGTGATATAAGGTTTAAGGTTTTAACCGTTTTTGGATCAATAACTAATTTTTGAGTTTTTTCCCACTCCCCCTTTTTGCTCCCTTTTTTCTATTTATTTCCTATGTTCAGCAGCCTTGAAAGCGCCTAGAGGACTTGGAGAATCAACCGCATGTGACCTGGAAGCTTTTTTAGTTCGGGAAATTCTTTGGCTGCGGTTTGCAGTTTGCAGAAAACATTCACGGATCGCTAATTCCTGCGGCCTTAAGGAACTGAGGACCACACACATACACATGTGGTGGAGGGAACCTAAAGTCTCTTCCGATAGCATTCAGTACTAAATTTAGTACCACTTATTCCTTAACAACTACCATCACTGGTTGTAGCAGCACTCACTCAACCAACCTTATGTTGACCGACCAGCAAGAACAACAAAAACGAGATGAACCCACTGGCATAAGAGCAGCGCAACGAAAGGTTTGACATTCTATATATGGCGAAGATGAAGCACACAAAACAAAACACTTAACCCACACCACTGATGAAGTTGCATGTGGTGGAGGCAAAGGGTTCTACGAGGTTTATTTTATATACATTGGATACAGATAGACCTAGGTTAACATGATTGATTTTGAAGCACACTTCGACGGCTTGGAGGGCTGAAATGAAGCTCCTGCAGAAGATAATGGTCGATAAAGAGCCAATTCCGACCATCCAACTAGTCCTAGCGCACATATGATTCACAACCGCAACCACACAAAATAATGTCCTACGTACCGCAACTGGATGTGTCTAGATGTCAAGTGCAGGATGAATCATCTGCATCTGGATTTTTCAAGGCGTAGAATATTTTTTATATTTTTTCAATGCGTCGAATTAAAAAAAAATTGTTTTAACCCGAGGATTCGTTCGATTTTTAGTGGATTTTCAAAGAACATTTTTTCAAGAGGTCGATTTTTATAGAAAATTTTTTTCAAGTCGTTGATTTTTATAAAAAAACATTTTTTCAAGGCTTACTCTATTTATAGAATGTTTTTACAAACTGTGGGTTTTCAGTTTCTCCAGTTCGTAACTATTTTTCTATTCATTTTCTTCATAGAGAGCAAAGAACCACACTGAAACGTTACTCCATTCACTAACTGGGTCTTTAGCAATAAACGATATCAAAACTATCGATAGCACAACGAAAAATACAACCCTGCCACTGTAGACAAATCAAAACAATGAAATGTCATCTCTAATTGGATGTTTTTTTGTTTCTTAATTCGACATTCTCAAAGACGAGAGCACGTGTTTACATTCTCCCAGCCCGTGTAAAGAAAAGTGCCGAGAATTTTTATTTGAATTTGCCCCAAAATAATTCTAAATTAAGAGGCAACCATGGAAGAAGAAGGACCAGCAGAGGCAACCATTGATTTCGTGCCAGCCTTGTGTTTTGTACCACGCGGCATTGCCAAAGAGCGTCCGGATAAAATTGTATTGACCCAAGAGGAGTTGGCCCGGGTGATTAAAGAAACCAAAGATCGTTTGGACAGTGATGGTGAACATGAAGATGATGATGATGACGACGGCGATGAGAATGAAACTGGTATGGAGGTAGATAATGAAAACGAAGACGGAGATGACGATGAGAATATTGATGAAGATGATGAACGGGCTGAGACACGCAGCATTAACGATGAATTTGGCTTTGAACAATACGATGCCGAGGGTAATGTCCGAGTGGCTGATATTGGAAATATTGTCGATCCTGACCATCAATTACCCGATGAAGATGATGATTCCGAGGCAGAAGATGAAATTATTAAACCCACAGATAATCTTTTGCTTGTGGGCCATGTTCAAGATGATGCCGCCAATATGGAAGTGTGGGTTTTCAACGAGGAGGAAGAAAGTCTCTATACCCACCACGATTTCTTGTTACCCAGTTTCCCGTTGTGCATTGAATGGATGAATCATGATCCGGGTAGTGATAAACCGGGCAACATGTGTGCCATTGGTTGTATGGATCCGGTGATTACTGTCTGGGATTTGGATATACAAGATTCCATAGAGCCCACCTTCAAATTGGGTTCCAAGGGTAGCCGTAAAAAGAACAAGGAAGCATTTGGCCACAAGGATGCCGTATTGGATTTGTCCTGGAATCGTCATTATGAACATATTTTGGCTTCCGGATCGGTGGATCAAACTTTGATTCTGTGGGATATGGATGAGGGTCAGCCCCATACCACCATTACAGCCTTTGAGGAAAAAGTCCATTCCATTGAATTCCATCCCAGTGAGGCTCAATGCATATTAACGGGTAGTGCTGATGGTGTGGTACGACTCTTCGATTGTCGTGATCCAGAATTTGTTAATGCCTCATTTGTTAAATGGTCGACACCGGGCGAGGTAGAAAAGGTGCTATGGAATTGTACAGATCCTAACTACTTCATTGTTGGCTCCAATGATGGTTCGCTGCATTATGCCGATAAGAGACAGGCTAAAAAGTTGCTGTGGTCTTACAAGGCCCATGATGAAGAAATTTCCGGCATTTGCTTTAATTCGGAAGTTAAGAATCTTTTGACCACCACCTCAACAGAGGGTTATTTGAAAATCTGGAATTTCAATGGCACCGAAATTAAACCCGTCTACTCACATGACTTCCAAATGGGCCGTTTGCAGTGTATGAAACAGTGTCCCGAGGATCCCTTCACATTGGCTTTTGGCGGCGAGAAGCCACCTCGTTGTCGGGTATTTAATATTAAAAATTTCGAGGCAGTGCGACAAGTCTTCGGGGTTGGTGGTGAGGCTCAAGAATAGTAACGCAGGCGTTTTCTCCCACCCACACTCATTCTCTTTTCTTTCTCTATTTTTTTACAAAGCTTTTATATTTGTATACAATGTATTAAAAAAATAATGTTTTTATTTCAAAATAGCAAATAAAATTTAAACTAAACGAAACTAAACTAAACTAAAAGATTTTTTCGTATTGTTTTGAACTCGAAAAAATATTTTTTTCCCCCGCATTATGTGGATCTCTAAAATTATTTTTTTTTTAATTTTAACGCCTTTGGTTATCATGAAAAAATATTTTTTTTAAAATCCACCCACTTTGTGATCATGAAAAATAGCTGCTTCAAAATATTTTTTAAAAAATCCTCGCCATGTACGGATGCTCCAAAAAATATTTTTTAAAAAATTATCGCCTTGTGTGAATGCTACAAAAATATTTTTTTTAAAATCCCTGTGGATGCTTCAAAAATATTTTTTAATAAATATATTGTGAGAATCCACGCCTAGGTGGCTTCTAGAAAAACGCATTTTTTACAAAAATAAATTTTTATTTAAAAAAAAATACCTTAACTACAATATCTTCCCTTCTATCTCTTTAACTGAATGCACCAATACCACATGTTCGCCACGAAGTAGTAGCTGAGGTAGATACCGTTTTATTTCCACTGTTTTACGATTAAGACTTTTAATTATCTGTTTGGGTAATTTTATTCCCAATTCCCGAAGTCTTCGGGAACACTCTTCCTCATCTCCCTCATGACCCCTTTCCTTAGGCATAACAATATTATCTTCGCAAAATTTATGTTTACGCTGAACATAACATTCTTCCACTTCAGTTAACAACAAATTCCAATGGCGATCATACAACTTGAGGACTCCCTCAACATAACCCTTTATACCTTTTTCTTTACGTACCATTACATGAACCCGTTCACCGGAGCTAATATAGCTATTCAAGGCCTTAAGGGGACCCACAGCATTATGCATTTGTGTTAGAATATTCCGGGTATGTTTACTTTTAATTTTTGCTTTGGTTCGTATGGCCATTTGATGTTCCTGGAAACGTCGTTGATTTTTCTCCTCTTCAACGAGGATTTTTGTTGAATCCTTGCTGGTAGCAGCACTTTCCGATTGTTTATGACTTTTGGGTCTTTTACCCACATCCCAAATGCCAACTTTTTTTAGCGCTGTTTCAAATGCTGCCATATTTTGGTAGATAACTTTGGGTTGCTTCTCCGTTACCCGAAAATCTTGGGCATATAGGCAACGTAAAGGATTGAAACTTTCACTGGTTATATCCAATTCATCTAATTGGGTTTCCAAAGAGGTGGATGGTTGAGTATTTTTTTCATTTTCCTTTTCTTGTAGTTTGTCCTTGTCTTCGGGAATGGGTTTTGATGTTTCATTTGATGTGACATGGTCCTCTTCTTTGGAATCAATTTTTGATAAGATCTACAAAAGACAAATAAATTAAATATGTCTTTTAAAAATACTCGCCATGTTAATTTTTGTCTGGGTCTGGAAGCAATGAAACATTTAAATTGTTCTTATCAGGACACTTAGACATACCTGTAGTGGAACTTTCAAAATATTCTGCCTCTAAAGTGGCGCAAACTGTTCACATTCAATTAGGGATTCCAGCGGGGAATGGTTGGAGTTTGGAGCTTCGTAGTGCGGCAATTCATTTGCAATAATGCAAATTCTTCTTCTACACTATCCCTTTACAAATGATATTCACTGTGATATGATAACAGAAGACAATGGCATCTGTATGAATAACTTCTGTAAAGCTCGGAATATTTGAAATTAATATTATTTAAATGACAATACTTGCATTTAATCCGATGAATATAGTTTTTCCGGTTTATTCATTGCGATAAGTTAATGCATACCAAGAAATAAAGGCAAGAGACGTTCCCTGATGTACAACTGTCACAAAATGTGTGTAAACACGCCGCAGAGTATTATTCTGTACAAATGCCCATTTGAGCGTGTTATTCACTATGAAGTAATAACATATGACACTAACGTATAGGGGGGAGAGGGATATATATAATTTTATATTTATGTCTAATTTAGCTCAACTAAAATTTTAATTCCGTCGAATATGTACTTGCATTTAATCCGCAACAGTAAAAATGCTCAGAAAGAGGTAGAAAACACCCGTTAAGTAAAACAACGAAGCTCCCTACATGTTAAAGTAAAATTGACAGAAACGAGTGCAAAAATGGCTGGCATCATATATAGCCTGTTCCCATACGTACGAAAAGTGATAAAATTTTTGAAATGTGTGAGGGAAAAAACCAAAAACAATTTCGATTAGTATAAGATTTTTATAGATTCTAGAACGAGGCTATAACACTGGATCTCAAATGATGTTTATAATTTTTTTAACCGAACATTTGTACACCATACACTTTTCCAAATATCTAAAATCGGTATGGTAAATATGTCTTTATAAATTCTCTGCTAAGAGGATTTCTGTTTGGCCTTAGAAATATCAAATTACAGACAAGCTGATTTGGAAAATTCGTTCATGATCTTCAGCATACTGAAAATGAGCGGTATGTTCACATGAGGGTGTATGCAACAAAAATAGACCTATATTTAACTTTTCTTGAAGAAATTTTGTACTTACTAAGAACATGCATTGTCGTTGGCGTCTTAAACCTATGGAACACTTCACCACATAAGCAAACCTTGTTACATGCGCTGTAGTAGGGGGGTCATGTCCATATGGGCTCCGACTAGCTTGGTCGCCTCTCTGGGTGTGGTCCCAACCCGTCACCCCTACTCCTGACATGCAGCAATTAAAATAAAGACACAACACTGAATACTACATTAACACAACGATGCATCACCTCCTATACTGGACCCCCAACCGATGACCAATATTCTGCCCACCCAACCATGATCAGTACCTCCTCTTCTTTACCTTACTGACCCCACAAACCGCCCCCATCCATCACTTACCTCGTCCTTAATTCCTCTTTAGCTAACTTAACACATCATAATTTTTAAACTTAACAAACATTCAAATCATATTTATTATTATATAAAAGAATTACTAATTCTAACAAAAAGGTCGTTTAAACTTAATAAAAAACTTACAACAATAATACAATAAATATTTATATGAAAAAAATTATGAAACAAAAATTTAAATATTGTTTTACTTCCGCTAAACGGTTATTAGGAAATTTTAAATTTTAACGGCTATTTGCCAAATTAAACAAAATAATCGAAAGGTCTTTTGACCATAAATCTTTTACCTCAAGAAAAGAGGTTTATTTCATGTCTAATTCCATAAACATTAATAAAAACATAAAATTACACTCGCAAAGCGATTTTTTTTCGAATCCACAATTAACGTGGTATTTAATTATATATACATTTAACACTTTCAAACCCACCCTAATAACCTCGACAAAAGAGCTCTGTTGCGAAGAAATTTAATGGGGAAAAAAATAAAAAAACTATATTGAAACCTAAGCTTTGAGAATGCTAAAAAAAAAGAAACTTTAGACATGTAATAAACAAATAAACATAAATAATAATTCTAATAAAATACGTCAATACAAACAAATGAGCATAAATAATAATCAAAATATTAGATTTTAATTAAGATTGTTAAAAATGAGAATTTTAGATATGACTAGTGACGCCGGCTTCTTTTTTATTGATATTATTATTTGCGCCACTTAGAATTTTGTTTCCAGGCTTGTTCTCTTTTTTTGCACCAATCGTGGTAATAGCATAAATTTTCCACCTTGGAAACACAGTAAAATTAGGACAGTTTGTCGATATATGAGTGGATCCTATTGTGTCTTGGATCATTAGCACAGTCAATTTCTTCTTTATAGGAATAAAGTGGTGCTGAACCGAGATCACGTGGAATGCTTGTATAGCCACTGTCCCGTAGATGGCGGTGGGACAGATATACTGGTGTTATAAAAAGTTGGGAAATTATATTTTCCTACCTTACGCAATACCGGGATAATGTCTGTGATCGGTTTGGTCGTCACCCAAGAGATAGCGCTAATTTTTGTTGTTGCGCTGTCGTGTGTAAACGTGGCTGGCCTATCCAAGAAATAATGATTTTAATATTTGGCTTAAAAGAATTTAGCCGCTTTAATAATTACCTCAATGGCTTTCGCCTCACACTTATTAATTAATTTATCCACTGGGTTCACAGTAAAAACCAAGAAAATCACACAATCCGCCAAGCAAACCTAATTTTTAAAGAATTGGTAATGATTTTTTCCCATTTTTCACTAATTTTCACATAATTATCACCTGTAGTATTCAGTGTTGTGTCTTCATTTTAATTGCTGCATGTCAGGAGTAGGGGTGACGGGTTGGGACCACACCCAGAGAGGCGACCAAGCTAGTCGGAGCCCATATGGACATGACCCCCCTACGACAGCGCATGTAACAGTATGGCGCCCAATCTTGAATGTAATTCGGATACAAATTCGAATGGTGTAAAGAAGTGTAGGTCAGCAAAACACTTGGTAATAGTCCACTATTTTTTTCTGAAATAGCCCAACATTTCTCCTCTCACGTTTTGGTATCCCAAAGTGTTTTCGCTCCATAGCCAGTCTGGACATGAGCCAGAGTGTTGTATGGAGTGATGCATTTTGGAATACTGAGGTAAAAGAGGTGAAATGACATATTCAAAACTGGAAAGGATTTGGCCTACAGTGCAGGAGTTTGCAAAAGGTAGTTGCAAATCGTTTCCAGGAGTAAATGTTAACTAGTAGTGTTAGGTTTTAATTTGTTCTGTGAGCCTGTTTAAACGTAAGGTATCCGTCCTAGTAAATTACTAGGATCTGTTGTATCTGTCCATGTTGAACAGTACATGGGTGCTCGTATCACGGTGCATCATGTCACAAAGCAAATTTGTATTTTTGTGTTAATATTGTTTAAAGTTGTTCTATGCATCGCCACCTAAACATACCTTTTTGGAAGACCAATTGCAACCGCACACATCACATCTCGTCCGAAATTCCTCCTATATTAAGAAAAAAATTTATATTAAAAAAAAACAGTAATTAGATTAATATATTAAAATAGGTTATAGTATACCATATATAGTTTGTATCGTCACAGCATCATTGGGAATGAATATAGCCACTCGGTCCAAAACTAAAGAAAAGAACAGAAAGAGAGATAGACCTGGATTATTTGATTTAAATAGATCGATAGCAATTGAGAATAAGAAAAAGAAAGAAGATACTAACTCTGAAATGGCGGAGGGAAATACCAACGATCAGGGTCAAATTAGGGATATGTCCCAAACCATTAACGTTAGCTCTCCGGTAACAAATTCCCTGGGTCCAGTGTATTTGCAAGGGGCTGTGGGAGGTGACCCTCAGGCCAGTGCAGTGCCTGCTCTTGGAAATCTTGGAGTGAATCGAATACTGGAAAATAAGATCCAAAACCTAGCAAATGAAATGGATGATATAAAGAAAACGTTAATAAATTTGACCAAAGTTATAAAAGAAGGTAATAGAATAGGAGAAAATCGTAACCCGGTGGCGGAAGCCTCAACAAATAGTGCCGCAAATGTAGCTTCCACCAGCAGGGATGTAATTTCCCAACAAAATGAGAATTCGGACCAATTGCCAAGACACCAGTTGGTTCCTAATATCTATACAACATCATTGGATCCGGCAAATGGTCCAATGGAAATAGCTTCTTCAAGGGACAATTCATTGCCACAGGTCAATTCGGAACAGAATAGGTCGAGTAGACAAGATTTGGTTCAGAATAACCATCCGACACCATTTGACCCAAGGTTATTTAGAATTAATAAGTTAGGTCTTCATTTCGATGGGAGTTCGTCCGGACTCTCCGTGGAAGAATTCGTATATCGGCTAGAATACTTCCAGCGTCAATACCAGATACCGTGGGCTGAAATAATACGCGATTTTCCCCTTATCCTCAACGGAAGGGCTGAGTCATGGTATTGGTTGTTTGAGAAAACGAACAAAATTCATGATTGGGAGGAACTCAAATACAGTCTACTGAGCCAATACCAATCTTCAAAAACCACTGTAGAGTTGATAGCCGAATTAGCCCAACGAAAACAACAACCTAATGAGTCCATAGATGCCTATTTTCATGTTATGGGTCAGATGAGGGCAAAATTGGTACAATCAATAAGAGAGTTTGATATGATCAAAATACTGAAGAGAAATATCCGAGAAAATGTTAGCCGTATTGTATACCCAATTCAAGTCTCTTCAGTCGAACAGCTTCGCATAGAATGCAATGAAGCTGAAAAGAATTTCCTCAGAAGAGAAAATAGACCTTACGTTCCACAACCATCTCGTCCACAAAGACAGGTCAATGAGGTTGATCTTGAGGATAATTATTATCAGGAGGATTATAACCAAAATGGGAATGGATTTGAAGAAGTTGATGCCCTACAAACAACTAGGCAACGTAACCCAAATATCGGGTGTTGGAATTGCCAGAAAACGGGTCATACCTTCAGAGAATGTGAAGCAACTATCAGGACACTATTCTGTTATAGATGTGGAAGGCCTGGTATTAAAACACCTCAATGCGATATTTGCCAACAGGGAAACCGGAACAGGGGCGTGGACACTACGGGGGGCCACGTCCAACTGCAAACCCCTAAGTGTATTAAAAGGGTCTTCACATCCGCCTCCCAATTCCATTTTAGACCATATATCAAAAGCCAATGAAGCAACATTTGAACCGCAGATGAGGCATTATACACCGCTAGAGATTCGTGAGAAAAATTATGAGAAGGTTAGAGCACGAATTATGGGTGATAACGAGGTCCAACAGGGCGATAATTCCAAAATTAGAAAAATCCGCCAAAAATTTAGAAATAAGCGTAAGGAGATGAATTTAGTGGTAGCGTCAGTTGAAAAATATGGTGGTAGATCTGATCCAAGATTATTTGCCGAAGTAGAGGTCCAGGGGACAAAAATTAGGGGTCTGTTAGACACCGGGGCTTCAGTCAGCATCCTGGGAAGAGGGTGCAGAGAATTTTTGGAACCTCTCGACGTCACCATACGCCCAATTTTTATTAATGTAAAGACTGCCTCTGGCCACCAACACAGAATAGTGGGAAAAGTAAAGTTGGATTTAAAATATAATGATATAGTGAGAGAGCTGGAGTTGTATCTATGTCCCGACCTGGAACAAGAATTGTATCTGGGAATAGATTTTTGGAAAGAATATAATTTAGTACCCAAGATTATGGAGGCTAATGAAATAGATGTTGAGAAGATTCAAAGAGATATCGTGGATGATGAAGCCTATAAGCTGAATCCCCATAAATTATCACCCCAACAACAGCAACAATTAGATGAAGTCATACAGAACTTTGACACCTTTGAAAACAAGGGGTTAGGTAAAACCACTCTCGAAAAACATAGCATTAAGTTAGTAGAAGGAGCAGAACCTGTTAAAGATCGTCATTATCCGTTATCCCCAGCTGTCCAAGCTATAGTGTACGAGGAAATCGATAACATGTTCCGGCTCAATGTGATAGAAGAGAGCGAAAGCCCATGGAGTAACCGTACTACTGTAGTCCGAAAGCCGGGGAAAAACAGGTTCTGTCTCGACGCACGCAAACTAAATAAATTGACAGTGAAAGATGCGTACCCACTTCAAAATATTGATGGGATATTGAGCAGGATAGATGAAACGTACTTCATAAGTAGTGTCGATTTGAAATACGCCTTTTGGCAAATCGAACTTGACGAGGAAAGTAAAGCCTGCACTGCGTTTACAGTGCCCGGTAGGCCATTATACCAATTTAGGGTAATGCCTTTTGGGCTCTGTAACGCAGCGCAGCGCTTATGCAGACTTATGGACAAAGTCATACCTCAGCGCTTGAAAGATCACGTTTTCATCTATCTTGACGACCTCTTAGTTATCTAGAGTGGATTTGAAGAACACCTACAATTATTAAACGAAGTGGCAATGTGCCTGAAAAAAGCCAACCTAACAATAGGAATGAAAAAATCCCAATTTTGTTTCCAGGAACTAAAATATTTAGGTTTCATTATTGGCCAAGGAAGATTGAGGACAGATCCGGATAAGATTAAGGCCATTAAAAATATAAAAATACCCAGAAACCCACGCGAAGTTAGGAGCTTTCTCGGAACCGCGGGCTGGTACCGCAGGTTCATAAAGGATTTTGCAACAATATCTGCACCTTTGACCGATAGTCTCAAAAAGTCAAAAAAGTTCGAAATTAGCGATGAAGGGATTAAGGCATTCGAAAATTTGAAAAAGGCCCTCACCTCAGCTCCCGTACTACGTCATTCCGACTTTACTAAACACTTCTATATACAATGCGACGCTTCGGACTATGGCATAGGGGCCGTTTTATTCCAATTAAACAATGATAAGGAAGAACACCCTATAGCCTTCTACTCACAGAAGCTTAACTCGTGTCAAAGAAACTATAGCGTGACCGAGAAAGAGTGTTTGGCTGCGGTGATGGCGATACGAAAATTTAGGCCCTATGTGGAAATGATGCCTTTCACCGTGATAACCGACCACGCATCCTTAAAGTGGCTAATGTCCTTAAAGGACTTGAGTGGTCGATTAGCACGGTGGTCACTTCAATTACAGGCATACGACTTTGAAATCGAGCATAGGAAGGGATCAGAAAATGTTGTGGCCGATATGTTGTCTCGAGCTCCTGTAGATAAGGAGGTCGACGAACTGAATATGGAAGAATTTCTAGACTTCGAAACAACAGAATTCGAAAGCGAAGAATACCTTGATCTTATCAAAACCATTAATGAAAATAGCCATCGATTACCAGATCTGAAGGTAGACGACGGGATGGTCTACAAGAAAAGTCTTCCAGATCCATTAATAGAGGATGAATTGCAATGGAAGCTGTGGCTACCAACGGGGATTACCCATGAAATCATTGTCAAGGCACATACATCACTTACGGCGTGTCATGGAGGTATAACGAAAACTCTTGAAAAAATTAAAAGATTTTTCTATTGGCCAAACATGGCGAGTCAGGTCAAACAATACATAAAGAATTGCCAAAAATGCCAAGAAGCTAAATCTAGCAACCAACATCTAATGCCAGATATAGGAAGAGAAGTGGTTACCGAAAGACCCTTCCAAAAATTATACATCGACTTCCTAGGAAAGTATCCAAGATCTAAAAAAGGGAATGCCTATATTTTTATTGTTGTCGACCACTTCTCGAAATTTACTTTTTTAAAGGCTATGAAAGAAGCCACTGCCGCAAATGTTGTAGAATTTTTGGTGGAGGAAATATTTCATAAATTTGGGGTCCCCGAAGTGATCCATAGTGACAACGGGGCCCAATTTGTCTCTAAAACTTTTCAAGCTATGATGGACTCTTATAAAATTAAACATCTAAAGACCGCCTATTATGCCCCTCAGTCCAACGCTTCTGAGCGGGTTAACCAGTCTGTAATCACGGCTATAAGAACCTATCTAGAAGAAGATCACAGAGACTGGGACCTGTATCTGAATGAAATCGAATGTGCATTGCGGAACTCGATACATTCGGCTACAGGAGTTACGCCATTCTTCGCGATATACGGGTTCCATATGTTTTCCAGTGGCCAAGATTATAGCCTGGCTCGGAAATTG